CTGCGATCTATCCCTGGCTACACTAATCAGGTGAAGTTCTCCCGCTCTCCCTTCTTTTTTCCGTTTTTTTGTTTTCTGCTTCCTCTTCCGGCTCTRCCTATCCCTCCTTCTCCATCCTACCCTCTCCGCTCTCCCACCCTGCCTTGATCGCCTCTTCATCATCCTTCAGGTAATAGTGTACTCGCTCCTCCTTACCGTATTTGTCCAAATCTTCCTTCGGCAGCCGAAGTGTTCCGCCCCCTGTCTCACGTTCCTGCACTTCGCCTCTCACTTCCACTACTTCTCCGCTTCCCCACCTCTAGTCCTCCTCCCCTGCCATTTTCCAACACTGTCCCGACTCTGCCATCCCACCTTCGAGGCCAATACTATCCTTGAAACGATGATCCCAGTTCTCTCTGTGCGCCCGGAACRCRGTACTACTTGAAATAGTCCGCGCMTTACCCTTCTTCTTCCGCCCTYCATTCCAAACTCGGGTCCRACTCTGTCGTCTCACGGAAACAGTTTCCATAAACGCGTACACGTCCCCACGGTTCCTCTACATGATGCTCAGATCAGCCTCGTCAATCCCGCTGACTCTTGTCGTCGGCTCCCCTCCTCTCACCGTCTAAAGCATCCTGAGCGACAAACTACTCATCTACCTATGCCGAATGCAGGTACCTTGCTGACTTATCGCCCTACCGACTGATTCTTCAAAGTACCGCATGAACCCAACCGTTTAACCTTGACTACCGACACACAAATTTGCAAAAGTACATATATAAACCGCAGGTTCGCAGAAACTACATCCAACTGAGAAACCCAAAAATATACAATGAAAAACAATGAAAAGCAATGAAAAGCCGATTTGGCCCGTATCTTCCCACCCGACTTTCTTCAGGTCCAGGTTCTCACCCAATTCCGCATACAAATACACAGTCCCTCCAAAGTACTCTTTTTCCTTTTTCCCTCAAAAACCCTTTCGAACCAGGAACTTGCTCAGCCCGGGGTACTCGGCAAGGAGATAAACTCCCCACGGACCACCGGACAGCCTAGCGAACTTCGCTAGGGCCCCGAGAGAGAGAGAGAGAGAGAGAGA